CATGCATATGTGTGACAAAAACTTAAAATTGAGTGAAAATCTGATTCATGCACACATCTTCTTATAACCTGATCTGAACAATATTTCCACAAGTATGGGTCATCCCAAACATAAAATCTAGCATCATTTTTAAGTTTATCACGTTGGAATTTGTTTAGGGTGCTAGGAACTTGTTTAGTCACCAAATAATTCACCAAATCTGCGTACCAAGGAGCACTTACCTGAACGGACAAGAGTTGTTCATCCGGAAATGTTTCGGAGATGGGAAGATCCTCTACTTCACGCACCAACCTGCTTAGGTGGTCGACAACAACATTATCACTCCCCTTCTTGTCCTTGATTTCGATGTCAAACTCTTGAAGTAGAAGCATCCAACGAATGAGTCTAGGTTTAGCTTCTTTCTTGGTGAACAAGTACTTCAAGGCTGCATGGTCAGTGAAAACAATAACTTTAGTACCAATTAGATATGATCTAAATTTATCTAAAGCAAATACAACCGCCAAGAGTTCTTTTTCGGTTGTAGAATAATTCAACTGAGCATCATTCAAAGTGCGTGAAGCATAATAAATAACATGTGGCTGTTTATTTTTTCTTTGACCCAAAACAGCGCCAAGTGCATAATCCGATGCATCACACATCAATTCAAAGGGAATGGACCAATCCGGGGGAGTTATGATGGGTGCAGTGGTGAGGAGGTCCTTGAGATGCTTGAATGCTTGCTCGCACGCCTCGTTGAACTCGAAAGGCACTTCCTTTTGTAGGAGACGGCATAGGGGTTGTGCAATCTTGGAAAAGTCCTTGATAAATCATCGGTAGAATCCTGCATGACTAAGGAAAGAACGAACCTTTCTCACCGAAGTGGGAGAGGGTAAGTAGCGTACAAGATCTATTTTAGACTTATCAACTTCAATTCCACGTTCAGAGATAATATGACCCAAAACAATACCTTGTTTAACCATAAAATGGCATTTCTCCCAATTTAACACAAGGTTTGTTTCAACACAACGTTTCAAGATTAAAGTGAGATTATCCAAGCAATTATCAAATGAATTACCAAATACACTAAAATCATCCATGAATATCTCAATAATTCTCTCAACATAATCAGAAAAGATGCTAACCATACACCTTTGAAACGTGGCAGGAGCATTGCACAAACCGAATGGCATGCGTCGATATGCAAACGTTCCAAAGGGACAAGTAAAAGTGGTCTTTTCTTGATCATCCGGGGCAATAACAATTTGATTATAACCGGAGTATCCATCAAGAAAGTAATAAAAGGAATGACCTGCTAACCTTTCTAGCATTTGATCTAGGAACGGCAATGGGAAGTGATCTTTCCTTGTGGTTGCATTTAGCTTCCTATAATCAATGCACACTCGCCAACCGGTTTGAATTCGGGTGGGCACAAGCTCATTCTCCGCATTCTCGACAACCGTCACTCCAGATTTCTTGGGCACACATTGGATAGGTGAAACCCAACGGCTATCGGAGATGGGATAAATCACCCCACAATCTAGAAGTTTGATTATCTCATTTTTCACAACTTCCATCATCGGAGGGTTAAGACGGCGTTGAGCCTCTCTAGTTGGTTTGGCCCCCTCCTCAAGAAATATGTGATGCATACAAGTCGTAGGGCTTATACCTTTAATATCGGCCAATGTCCATCCTAGGGCAGATTTGAATTCCTTCAACACACGCACTAGCTTCTCCTCCTCTTGTGCCGTGAGGGATGATGAGATGATGGCAGGTAGTGTCTCATTTTCCCCCAAAAAGATGTACTTCAAATGGCTTGGTAGGGGTTTGAGATCAAGTATGGGTGCCTGAACGATGGATGGAAGCAACTTGTTAGTCGAAATTGGAATGGAATTAAAGTTAGGAGACTTACCACCATGCTTAGGTAGTGACTCAAGAGCAGCAACCAACTCAAAAATTTCATCACTAGGAGGCACGACATGGCCTAGTCCATGTATGCCGTGGGTTACACTAGAATTTGCCCCCTTGGTTGTGAGTTCCATTCCTTGTGTAATGACTTTTTCAAGCACATCGTCATTCAAATCTTCAAGATATCTGATAGGGATTTTTACTACTCATGTGAATGCGATAAAAACCTCCTATTTTACTTGCAAGAATCACAAGGTTATTGTAGTATAAACGGATCTCGCAAGGTCATTCTCCACAGGGATTATTAAATAATTCGAAACAAATCAGATTTCAATTAATGATTGTAAAGTTGAAATTTGGATGATTGATTTTATAACCTACTTAAATTAAAAACGAATTTAACTATTAATGATAAGATAATCTACAATATTAAAGCTAGAGAGAAAAGAAAACAGTTTTTGAGAGAAATCAAATTAAGAAAGCACTAGGGTTCCACCATCACCTAGCAATCCTATGAATTTTTACCAATTACTTATGATCTACACATGCCACTTTGAAGGTTAGATTTTCCTAATTCATATTCTACTTGGAACCTCCAACATAGAACGTATATCTAACATGCAACCCGTCCGGACGTTCGGATCAAATCTAAACATGAAAGACTCATTATGCTTTATGAAAATCCTTTGAAAAACCATGCAATCCTTAAGACGTGATATTCATCCTAAGAGAAATTACAATTATTAATCACAAGAAGCCAGCGTCAATTTCAGGGAACCTTCCGACCAAAATTGCATCAAATTACTTTTCTAAATATCCTAATGGTGATCAGGCATTAAGACAATTAGATAGTTTTTATCCCGGTGATTAACAATTCAAAATATGCATGCAATCAATCATAAGCAATTAAATAAAAATCACATATTCATGCTAAGGCTCAAGGCTTCGCCCTAGCAATAGAAATTAGTTCCGCATATTCATAATTGAAATCATAGAAAATATTCTTAAGAAAAGGATTGAAAACACCTTCAAGTAGAAAATCTTCAAAACCCTAACACTTCTCTCTGTCTCCAATATTGCATAAAATAAAGCGTAATCAAAAACTGTAGACGGCTAAGCAATATATTTGCTAAGCCACCACCCAAACCCTAGCCAACTAAAATTAATAAAAACCCTAAATAAAAATAGTAAAATTCGTCTAAAATCTGAACAGCCACGTTTTGGCCCATAAGCTGCTCCAAAACTGGCCCAATATAGCTGGATTTGATGTTTGGAATATTCTGAACACTTTTCCAGAAGGCCACGAACCCATCCGAGGTCATCTTGGGCTCCAAAAACGTCATTTAAGCCCAAAAACGTCATTTTCCAGCACTGCGCACTGCTTCTTTATTTCATCGCCAGAAAATAACCGCTTGGTGGAAAAATCCCAAATTTTGATACGATCAAGCTAAGTGACTCACGAACGTCCTCCAACTGGAATTACTCCAAAATTCGTCCATTTGATCCTGTTTTGCTCCAGAGGAAGTCGAAAGTCCTATATTGAAAATACAATTCAAAGTATCAAAATTCTTCCAATATATTAACCAAAATATACTAAGATTAGGGTAAAATATATAATATAAAATCTACTCATCAATACCCCCAAACTTAGCTTTTTGCTTGTCCTCAAGGAAAACAAGACTCAAACAAAAAATAAAAACTTAACAAACTAGACAACTAGCTAAAATTAACTGACAAAAATTTTCATCTTCAAAGTTGCAATCCATAGCAAATTTTAAAAACTAGAACATTTTTTCAAAAGTTCCAACCAATCACACCACAGAGTCTAAGCCATTTAGAATCAATTAGAAAAGAATTCACAAACTTCCTTTGGTGTAAATTGAACCAACATAATTAAGGGGACTCGACTAAAACCCTTACCTCTCGTCCTTATTTATTTCACACATACTAACTTTAAATATAACTCTCTTTCTTTTTCTTTTTTTTTTCTTTTTCAAATTTTTTTTTTCTCTTTTTTTTTTTTTTTCATGTATATAACATTTTTTTTCTTCAGTAACAGTAGTGGTCGTGCAATGTCGGTTCACTAAAGCTTTCAATCCAACCCATGTAGCGAGCTTTAGGTCAATGACTCCCAAACCACTAGGGCTTTAGGGCACTAGGTGTAGAACACCCCTAAGGACTTATTAACCCGAGCTGAAAAGGCTACGAAACCAACTAACCACCCTGCCCCATGCCAAAGCTCTACCGTTTGACGCGAGAATCACTACTGATTAGGCAGGACTGGCCCGGTTACTAGGCAAAACCTCGGGTGAGACAATTATTACTTTTTTTCACAATAATAACTAACTTTACTTAAAACAAAAATTAAAAATTAAAAATAAACTTAGACTAAAAGCAAGTGTTTCAATCTCACTCCCCACAAACCATGTTGGTGTGATGTGCAAAGTTCAAAGTATAATTCATGAATTAGTGTCTAAGCAACGATAAATAGAAAAGACTCTAATGTGGGATTAATCTTTACCATGTCCATTTGTTCTAACGTTTAAAATAATCTATGGATATTAACTTAACAAGAATGAAAATTTTTAAACGACCCAAAAATTAAAGACTTAAAATGTTATTTTCCCACCCCCAACTTATTTCACACTTTGTCCTCAAGGTGTGGTAAATAAACAAAAGAAATAAGAACAAAAACAAAAGTCCTAAATCCTAGAAAATGTTGAACGCAAAATCAAAGATAAAGAAAAATAAATAAATCCTAAGAAAAGAAAATAGGAAGAAGAAATAAAAAAAACAATAAAATAACATAAAGTAAAACAGAAAACAGAAAAAGAAAAAAAAAAAAAAAAGGACAAGTATGAAAAATTGACATACCAAAAAGTTGATGGATTTCCCGTTGGATTGAGCCCACGTGGAAAAAAAAATTGATCCATCCATTTGACTGAGTACCAGACCACAAACCAAGTCCCTATTCACCATCACATGCTCACCAAACCCCGTGCCCCAACAATTTAAAACTTTGGATTCCTGTCAGAAAGGCATGCAATTGGCATGCCTTGGGAAAAGTGGCTGCAACTAGCATGCGGTGTTAAAGTGGCGTGCAGATTATTTTTTGTTTTTCTGTCTCTGTCAGTCATTAACCCCAGAGCCCAAACGGCTCTCTCCCTTCTTTAACCGAGTCAATTTAGTAGACATGTGAATACTCCAGCTTGGAACACGTGGCAAGCATCACGACATGGAGCTCCATAGAGTTCCAAATTAAGGGTGAAGATCAATCCAACATGCCCATCGTCCTCTCTCTAGAAAATCTGAAAAGGTTTTCTCTCCATTTCACAGCAAGCCCTTCTATTATGTTTTTTTTTCAGTTCTCTCAGACCCCATTTCTCTGCTCCCTCTTCTTCATAGCGTCTCAGAAACGCAAAATCCTTCTGTCTTTTAGAAAGTCAGCCACCTCCTCTCTCGGATCTCTGCCCTCGCAGCTGTACCACGTACCTCCCAGTGTTTCAATAGCCCATCCATGGTAGAAATCGGAAAATCAGAAAGCCAAAGGTAAAAGCATCCTCCAATATTTTGTTGTCATGTCTCAGATTCATTTGTTTTAGAGAAATAGAACTAAATCTAACACATGCATGTCGGTTTAGCTATGTGAGGACCCCCAATAATTTCGAATCCGAGACAACATCACCCTGAATCGCCATCTCAACTCCACAAAATCATGTCTCCCAAGCCTCAAGCCATCAGAAATTGGAGTACCATTTTGCACATGCCACGGTAATCACTCTTACCTAGTTCAAGATCCATGGCTCTTAGCTTGCGAAAAAAAAATCTTGGCAAGTTATATTTGCGTGATGAGTCTCTGAAAAGGCTAACACGGATTTTTTTTTTCTCCATAGTAGGTGTCCGAGATGAACAAAGAGACAGAAGAGACAAAGTCAAAAAAGCTTCCAAACTCACGGATCTGCAAATTGTGAGGTAGAAACCATAACCCTTTTTATTGATGGACTATGATCTGATACTTGAAAAATAACTCCTATTGTGACTGAAAATAACTCCTATCCAGCATACACCCGTGAGAAAACAAGCTGAAGCAGCCGGTCTAATAGTCCCAGAAAGCAAAATCAACAGCAACTGTCGCGGCCTTTGTATGTCATCAAGGTAAAGATCTCGATCGTCTGCTTTTGCTAAACTCAACATTTACAAGTTCAACAACAGTTCATTAGAATGCCATATGTAACCTGTATGTACTCATATTGTTGGTCTTTATGTAGGGTATACGGATCCATGATAGAGCCAAGGAGACAGAAGTAAACACACAAGAGCAACGGAGGAAAACAGCACAGGCCGCATGACCCAGATCGATGCATCTGGGAGGTAAAATTCGAATCCCTGCAAGTGTAATTGTTGTAGATCTGGTAATAATATCTGTACTCAGTTCTGTGGTGTATGGATCTGTGATTTAATTGTGCTTCCTCCATGCATCGCAAAACTGAGCTGCAGAAAATTAACTGCTCTAAACTCTGTTTTATGCGCTGGATCTACAACAATCACCCCCAAACTTGCATCTGTGAATGGCTATTTATGTTGACTGCTTTAAATTT